GTGTTGTGATTTCACTCAGTGAAAATTCATTAAATTATTCACTAATTTAATTTTCTTAAATGTTACATGATTTTTCGTGATGAACCAACGATAGATACCTAATTATTTAAACATAATAAGGGATCTAGTATTATTTAACAACAGTGAATATATTTAAGTTTATTGATGTTTTATATATCCATGAAATATTTTTATATTTTACTTCTTCTTTCACATTATATATACGTGTTATGCTACTTAACAGGAATTGAATGCCTAATGTTCAAAATTTCTTCTTCTAAATTACTTGTGTTTTATATATATATATATATATATATATATATTATATATATATATTATATATATATATATATATATATATATATGTATGTGTGTGTGTATATATATATGTATGTGTGTGTGTATGTATATATATATATATATATATATATATATATTAGGCATTCAATTCCTGTTATGTGACATAAATGGAGATAACACCGTCCTGATATTAAAGATCAATCAATTATACACTAATATACCTAGTTTAATCAAAATCGTTTGAGTTGATTTCGAGAAAATTGCAAAAACTTGGAAAATCGATTATATAATGTGATACTTCCGGCAGGCTGATTTTCAGAAGAAATTGCTGTAACATCCTAGCCAATTTTCTATTTTTAATACGTAATTTCAGTACAACTCAAAATGTCTATTTCTGTTGAAACTTTAGATTAAAAAATATTCACGATCGCAATATTTTCCCTTATTTTAAATTACATATATAAGTTACTGAAAGTAAAGAAATCAATAGTAGAGGAGCAGTCAGCTAAATTCAAATCTGTTGAAATACAATATATATTAATTATTACTATTGTTTGTGGAACTATACAGTTCCATAAATCGATACCTCATAAATGAACTTAACGTACGTGAACCAATTATCTAATCAGTTGAATCAAGGCTTCCATTAATAATCAAAATAAATTTATGACCTTTTGTCTCCTATAACACAGATAAACGGCAACCGGGCATACAGAATTCAGTTTAAAAAATAATTTTAATTTTTTTTAGTTATAGATTGCTGTATTAGGATGTTTTAGCTAAGGATAGTCGCGGATCAAGGATTTATTTTTTATTATATAAACTATATGGATAGTCGCGGATCCAGGATTTATTTTTTATTATATAAACTATATGGATAGTCGCGGATCCAGGATTTATTTTTTATTATTATTTTTTATTATATAAACTATATGGATAGTCGCGGATCCAGGATTTATTTTTTTATTATTATCTTCTATTATATAAACTATAATCACTCTGTAAGTAATATTCGATGGCTCTTAATGGGCTGGCAACGTAATATCAAAAATAATAAACCGACTAATAAAAAATATAATTTTTTTTATCTTTAATTATTTATCCACACCTGTCATGGTATTGCCAGTGAGTAGATCTATTGTGATAAAATAAAGATTGAAATTAAAGGCATAAGGAAGAAGTACCCAGCAGCGCTTCTTCCTGGTGATTATTTACTTCTCTGATTTAGGCGATCTTCTCTCTCATCCAGATCCTTTTTAGTCTCCTCCTGGTGTCAGCCGTGGTCATTTCGTTTATAAGTCTGCTTGTGTGTCTATGTAATTTGAGATGAAAGCGAGAGTAGAGAGTAGGTATGTGTGTATTTATAATTGGTTTTCATAAGTCGCTATATAAAGTTTTGTTGTTGACATACCAGGGAGCTCCTTTAATAAGTCGTAAAATTTTCGATAGAAATGACTGTAGTTTTTTTTGTGTGCGTCTTTTTTGCCAAACCGTAAATCTTAGAGGCGTATGTCCAGATGGGTTTGAGTAGGTAAGTGTATGTATTTAATTATTGTCAATTTTCTTCAATTTAAAAAAATTATGAAAGAAAAATAAAGTTAGTTTTACATTTCTTTGATTTAAACAATTAAGTAAAATTTAATAGTTTTTAAAAGTTTAATTCAGAGATAAATAAAATTAAATAGAGGCGTCGATGCCCAGGAAGTTTTATTCCTTAAATCTCTAAAAAATATCAATTTAAATGGATTACATATTTTGATTATTTACATGTTTACCTCAAATTTATTACAGAATCAAATTTAAAATACTGAAAAAAAACTATATTATATATATATATATAATATATATATATATACTATATATATATATACTATATTATACTTTCACTATATTAAAGGGCTTCAGCCTCTGTGTCTTCTCCCTCTTCTCATGGATCCATAAGTGACTACAGGTATTTTTCAATGTTTTCCTCACAATTTTTATTTTTAAATATTAATTTTTATATTTAAGGATTGTTTTGTCCACGAAGAAAACTTATAATATTAATATTTATTGTATAATCTCATTCTGCATAAAACATATGACAAATCAACAAAATTTGGAAGCTTTAGTTCAATACAATCATTGTACATAGGAAAACTCGAAAACATACAAACTGGTTTCATCCTCAGTCTGGCCATTAATCTTATATCATGTGTTTAAATGACGATAAACCATAAACTATTAGTTTGAATTAGGTAAAGTCTGTGATTTATTCTTCCCTGTGCTGTTCCATAATATATTCAATTCTTTAGTCAAATTTTTTAGTCAAAGTGAAGAGTGTCGGTTCCTGGGTGATTTGACATAGAATGACTTAATAATATTTTTCCATTTCGATTTTTTTACTTTCACTTACGTATATATGTAATATATAGTAAGGGTAAGTATTGTTTTTCATAACAGCAGACATATTACCTCTCGACATATCACTTGCTTCTATATACCTATAATTAGATATTGTAAATTTAAAAAACACCTCAATTCTTTACCTAGGCGTGACTCTGGATAGGCACCTCACCTTTACTAGTCACGTCAACCAGAGGCTCAAGCTGGCTCGGCAAAAGGAGTGTAGGCTCTACCACCTGCTAAAGTCGGCGCAGCTCTCGTTGAGACTAAAACTGCAAATCTACAAGGCGGTCATCAGGCCTACGCTGCGGTGTACCGTTGCTCCGCCACCTGTATAAGTCCACGCTCAAGAAACTCCAGAGTTATCAAAACTCCATCCTTCGTCGAATAGTCAGAGGTACCACCCTGCAAAGAGCAAAGAATGTAAAGATCCGAGAGGAGCTTCAGCTCCCATCGGTGCCTGAGTTCATAGGCCGAAGGCATATCAAATTTTTCGATGGGCTGAAGGTCTGTGTTAACCCGCTTTTCCAGGAAATAGTACCGCAGCCCAGGCCTGGGAGGTGGCAAGGTAAAGGCCCCTTGGTAGATGTTCTCGCCGAGGGAAGGGGTTCGGACTCTGTACTTCACACCCACTAACAATAATATAAATAATAAATTAATGCAGGGCGGTACCTCCACGCCCAGTGGTATAATAAAAGGCCTCTGGCCACAGGTGCAAAGTAAGCATACAGCGTGCATAGCCCTCTTACCTTAAAATGGCCTTGGGCAATAAAAGGAAATTAAAAAAAAAATACGTATATATAACATTTATATATTGTACTTTGTAATAAAGAAATTCCTGGGGGGTAGGAAAAAAACAAAAAAAAAACAAAAACAACTTGGGAACTTGATTTCGCCTCCAATATTAGAGAAGAAAAACAATTACATGTTTGCTTCTTTTAAATAATTAAAAATGATTCTCCGCCGGATTAAAGGAAACCAGTGCTGACTAAAGGAAAAAAATACACCAAATGTTGATGGAATTAAGAGCATATTACTCAAACAGTTACCAATGATAGATATAATGTGCGTGGTGAATCTTTACAACTCTTGTCAACGGCTTCTCTACTTCCCGGTTTCATGTAGGGTACCCCAAAGAGCTGTTTCAGCTCCCGTTCTTTTCCTATTACGTACTGCGGAAAAAGTGGGAACTAAACACCAAAATACTTCCGTGACATCATTTCCTGATGACATAGCTGTCTTAAGTAGCAGTATGAATGCCAAAAAGCTAAGCAGCAGTCGGAAACAGCTTGTGAAAAAATTGCTGAACAGCTATACTAAATACCAACCATTGATGTTAAATCCTGAAAAAACGAAATCGTGAAAAAAACGAAATTATATTTTCATATCAAAAAGAAAATGCCAAATGAGTTCCAAATTAACTACGAAAGAATTAAATTATCGGCTGACTTAACATACTTCGGTATTCATTTCGACAGACATTTAAAATTTACAAGGCATTTTAACAAAAATAAATAAATAAAACAGTAAGATCTAAGAAGTACCGACTCCAAAATTTAATTAGGACAATAAACCTATCTTTACGCCTAAAGTTCCTAATCAATACAAGTATAATAAGCTCTGTTCTATGGAGCATCTCTGTTCAATCATGTCAGCAAAGCAACTGGGAAAAGATTACAATATTTCCAAAATGGAATAATCAGGAAAAATATTAAGAGCAACCACAATGCAGAGAATAAAAGAATTGGATATACAAACTGAGCTAAATTTATCAACAGTAAAAGAATTTCTCAATAATCGAAAAAAAAATTATTTTTCGAATAGTCTCAACAATTGAATAACCCTCTTTTCAAGAACTTATTACCCGCTAAAATTCAAAAACGCTGACAACAACTTACATAAGATAATTTTTTTAATTTAATTGTAAGCTCTAGAATAGAAGGTCAACTCAAGCCTGAGGTGAGCCTCATCGCCGATTATATTTCAGATTTAGAAAAAAAATACTCCGAAACGCTTACAACGCTTTTTAGCAGTAAAAGCATTATTAAGAGGACAAAAAATCCAAGGATTGAATACGAAGATATATAAATAGGGGCTATGGAAAAGGTGTCCTGAAATGTACATACATTTTTCAATCGCATATTTTTCAAGTCATAGTTTATATACACTAAGAAAAATCATCTATATTACCACATAGATATGATGTGACTTTAGGATATAACAATCAGATGACGTGTAAACAATTAATCCGGATTTTTATATAAATTTTAATCATGTGTCTTATATAAACCATTCAAATAACAATTGTGGCACAGAGGATTATGAGCATAAAAGCTATGAAGTTCATTCCCATTCTTCTGATATCTTTATTCTTCGTTATCTCTTCGGCAGATAATGAAAATAAGGAAGAAAGCGACAACTACAAAAAAGGTTAGTATCAGAATTCAATATCTATGAAGAAAACTGTTCTTTTTTATATATATATATATATATATATATATATATATATAACAAAAAGATTTTTTTTTTTCATTGCCCCTAATTTGCTTTTTTGTTCTATGGTATGAAATTTATCTTTTTCAACATATTTACATTTTAAGGAGGTTTATATTGTCATAATTAATTATGAACAATTTCATTGCTTATATTTACTCATCAGACGGTGGTGCAATTTTTTTTTTTTTTTTTTGTGATGAATTTTAACTAAGAATTAAAGCTAATATTTAATTTGCAAAAATCTTTTGATATCGTTAAGGTGGTCCGAAAGATTTAATTATACTAATTATATTTCTCACTGATTCATAAAATTTGGCATTACTCTCGGTTATGAAACTCGGTTAGTGACCGATTTCCACCGGGAGCCGAGAAAAAAATTATAAGTTTAAAAAGATACATTATTTTTTTCTTTTTGCATTTGTTTTTCCCAGATTTTTAGATTATTATGTACCAAACGATTTCTTTTTTTTATACAAAATAAGACAAAAATATTGCCCAAATTATGAACTGAGTTGTAATTTCCCACAAATTACAGAATCTTAGTGACGCTTCCAGTACAGTAGGCCAAGAAAATGTTTACTAAAATTGGTGTTTAAGGATCATTAGAGGTCGGTAAAACGAATATTCGTTTAAAAAATATATTTACTTCCATTGCTATGCCACAATTCAACTATACGTTTCTTTTTTCTTTTGTTCTTCTACATACCCGTACCTCGCTATTTCTGGCAACATGGGGAATCCAACTATAACTAGATTGAGTACAATAGTAATAATAAAATGCTTAGGTTCGATGCCGATACCACCAATCCCTAACACCTCTCTGTTCGTTAAAACACACCTTTTGTAACTGAACCTAATAATTTTACACACCCATTCTATCCTCCGCAATTTAATCACCTCAGTTATTTTAACCGAATACAGGCCAACTAATTCGGCTTTGTGTAACCGTATAAGTTATTCGGTTGACTTTTTCGATCCAAATATTCTATGCAACACTTAATTTTAAAAATCGTTGCTCATCTCTCAATGTTAGCTGCCACGTTTCGCACATATAAACAACCATAGAAAAATGAGTACCATGTTAAAATAAATTACACCAATAGTGATAAAAATGACTACCCGAAATGGCACAAATTTGAAGCCCATTGGGAAATTAAAACCAAACATAAAAGCTTTATTCAAAAATTTTTTATTTTTTATTTATTCCTTATACAGAAATATAAGCTATGTTGCACCATCATATAATGTGTTTTCAAGAAACTAATTATCCTATGATATCATAAATTTATTTTTATGTTTTTAACAACGGATCAAACCTCATGGATTGTTACCAAGTATTCTTTAAGAGTTTATATTTCCTAATTAAATGATATCTTATTAACAGTCCAACCATTAAGAACAATTCTTGTCATAAACATTTTATTTTCTATTTATTGAAATGCTTGTAATTCATAAATTTGATGTCAGACATTCATTTCCTCTTCATTGATTAAAATGGACTAAAATGTATTATTAACTAAATATATATCTGTCTATAAATTTTTTGTTTTTTTGGGTTTCAAGATAATTGGGTAAACTGTAGGATACATATAACTTACTGATATGATTTGGAAAAACAGTAATTCAGATATCTAAGAGGTACATTAACGTTGAATTCGGAGAAAATCCTGCGAGGATTATGATGCTTCAATTGATGGCAGGAAAGAAAATCTTATTTGGTTTTTATAAAAACTACTATTTAAGAATATTTTTTATTTGCTACTATTTAACGACGCTTCGACTTCTAAGGCCATTGGCAACGACTGGCGAATCAATTTCGTTGATTAAAGTATTGTTTCAATGTCATTTTTTTCTCTTAACGGTACTGCTTCGTAAATTTTAAATTTAACTATTTATTCAAGATATTAACTACTGTAATACAATATAAATACATCAAGTAAATATGTAAACAGGAATATAATCATATGAAAACGCTTGTTGAGATCCTACCCACTGGTAGCTAATGTAAATTTAATTTGATCTTTTTAATATTTTTTTCCATCGGAGAAGCAATGTAAGAGGTTCATTGTCACACATTTGAAAAGTTGGTCTGTCCAAGAAGCTGATATAGATGGATTAGTTTGGTATGCCCAATTCTCAATCTGTTAATTAGGAAGCAATATTTTGATGCCAGCATTTTTTGGAATATCCAAGCAACATTGTACCCTTTGTAGAGGCGAGGGGGATTGAATCGCAGCCTTTCCTACTGTTCCTTCCAAAGTTTATTAACTTCGCTTGTAATTACATGCTTACATTTGTTTGGAAATTTAGGTGTCTAAAAATTCACATACACTAAAAATTCTTAAATGAGGCGAATCGACGGCACCTGATTATTTTTATGTATTTTTAAGTTCATATAGTGAATTATTTGGTGTAATTTGTTTTTTGTCCATATATTTTTTCAGTCCATTAATAACTGATAGTGATTCTGTCACAACTACTGATTTTTAATTTTTATTCATGAATTACGTATTTAAACGCTTTTAAAACCGCCTAAATTCACGTACAAAAGTTTTTTTTTTTTTTTGGTCATTTGGCCATCCAACATCTTGCTGCCCAGTATAATTTAGACTTTCTGATATATATATATATATATTTGGAAATATTTTTTCTCTTATGTTTCTCAAGACATGCGTCTAGGTGGTCTGCGTCCATTGTTCCTTGATGACACAATTTACAGCAAGGATCCTCAGCCACGCCTATCTTGTAGAGATGACTCTGCAGATAGTCGTGACCAGTGGCCAGGCGGAATCAGGCAACTGCATCTCTTCTCGCCAGCTCAGCTGGAATCGGATTATCCTTCAACCACTCGTAACGTTTCCCTTCCACTTTGCCTAAATGTGCTTTTCTTATTTCTTCCTTCACTACCATCTTTACCATTCGCCGTATTGAGTCGTAGGGTTTTGGATGTATCGGCTGAGGCAAATCTGTTCCTCGCTTGGCAAGAATATCAGCCTCAACGTTTCCCGGAATCCCACAATGGCTGAGGATCCACTGTAGGATCACATTGGTGCCTCGGTGTGTCAGGTTAGAGAAGAGGGATTTACATTCCAATATAGCACTCGATAAACATTCATTCGTGCTTGTAACAGCGATGAAGGCTGCTTGGGAGTCGATGAAAAGAACAGCGCTCTGATCCCGCCTTCTAGACAATGTGCTTAAGGCATACACAATAATGAATTATCGTTATTTAATTTTTATTTATTTATACTCATTTGTTTAACCATAAAACATTCCACTACTTTTCCTGACTTTGACCCTTCTAGGAAAATTTGTTCATGATTTGAAAACAAGTTTTCGATTATTTAATTGAATATAAATTTAATTTCCTCTGAATTGGTGTTATTCGGAATTTTTTAATCCTATTTAAGGATTAATTAGTGGGATTGTCCATAGTAGAGAATCTTGAATTGCGTGAGGCATAATAAATATGTCCTAGTCATTTCTTACTCATTGAAACATTGTATGATTCGACTGATAAGTATCTCTAATCCATTATGCTCAATGTTGTTATCATCACTCTTACATGGAGTTTAAAAATTATCGTGGTCAGTTATACTATAAGTTTTGTATAAATTTTCATTTAGTAAGACAGATGCTCGGCTTTCTGAATCCTCCGATTGCTAATCCTAAAGCCGTATTTTGTACAGAATCTAATTTATTTAAGAGGCTTTTGGTGTCTGAGGAATGTATGATGCAGTCATAGTCTAACTTTGATCTTACTAGAGTCTTGTATGAAATTAGAATTTCTTTACGGTCTGCTCTCCAGCCTTGAAGCAAACGAATTTTTAAATGGTTCAGTCTTTTACTGTATGCTTGTTTTAACTGTTCAATATGGTTTTCCATAAAATTCAAACAATTTTAATATAATTCGATATCAGAATTATTTATTGATATTCTATATTATTATTTACATCACAGTTCTGCGAATGCGTTAGCCCTAGTTAAACATACGTCAGGTCGTCTCTTATAAAAATCTCAATTATCAGTGGCAGTATACAAGTTTAATGTGAACAATTAGTGTTATCAGTTACATTAACAATTACGTTTGATACTGGACAAAAAAATAAGGCGAGTAATCACTTATTTACAACACAAGAGTGAACATAAATTTTTTTTTTATTTTATTTTATTTTTTTTATTGATAAATATTACAATCTGTCTCAATAAAGGACATTTATAATAGAGTTCTGAGAGCACATTCACACCATATTTACAAATTAAAAAAAAAATAAATAAAAAAAATAAGCTAACTTCAAATAATATAAAGCTACAAAAGAACAAAATAAAATATCATAGTGAGAAAAAAATAAATAAACAAAAAAAAAGTAATGAAAATAAACATCTTAGACGCAGGCAAATCTATTACACTATTTACAGTCGGCCATAGGAACTCCGAACCATACTTATCCCCCCACATGTGAAGGGAAAGCAAGGCTTCAGGAGATCCCTGCGCTTCCTGCTCAACCATTTCACTGGCATTGAAAGGCAGCGGAGATTGAGTAAGGGCGCTACAACCACGGACACTCATGACTTGAGTGGAGAATCTGGCCATTGCCAGAACTCCAGTATATACAGAACATAAAATTAGAATTACTTATCGGTCTGCTCTCCAGCCTTGATGCAAACGAATTTTTAAATGGTTCAGTCTTTTACTGTATGCTTGTTTTAACTGTTCAATATGGTTATCCATAAAATTCAAACAATTTTAATATAATTCGATATCAGAATTATTTATTGATATTCTATATTATTATTTACATCACAGAGAACTGATGGAATGATGATGACGCGAATGCGTTAGCCCTAGTTAAACATACGTCAGGTCGTCTCTTATAAAAATCTCAATTATCAGTGGCAGTATACAAGTTTAATGTGAACAATTAGTGTTATCAGTTACATTAACAATTACGTTTGATACTGGACAAAAAAATAAGGTGAGTAATCACTTATTTACAACACAAGAGTGAACAGTGTAAATAGACCTTAGTTTAGTTAGATAACGGCCAGCCATATACATCGTTAATCCCACTAGTGGGCTAGATCCCTCCGTCGGAGGCAGATCTGTGCTCTCCAAGCGCGCGTCTATATTTTCGTGTTCAATAAATTTTTTTTTTCCTCGCTTCACTTTTATCAATTTTTCTTTTAAAAATTAATATGAAATGCGATATTGTCACATGCTAATGTCGAGTAAGGGCAAAAACATGGGGATTCCATGTTCGCCAGATAGTGAACATATTCAAGGAGGATAGAGAACAGCCTGTAATAAAAAATAAAATACCTCTTCCACCATTCTTCGTTGACCTTGACCGAACACCCGATGTCGAAAACATCTACAAGGTCATACGCCTTTATTATACAAGCGTTATTGTAGAAAAGCCCTACAACAAGCGCGACATTGTTCATTCCATAATTGACAGGCTTATGGCCATACGAAACGGTATTGTCATCACATTCCTAGATGTGTGAGGTGTGGTGAGCAACACAAAACAGAGGACTGTAGGAGGTCGAGAACTTCACCTGCAGTATGCGCTTTATACCACCAAGGACACCCAGCCAACTACAAGGGTTGTCAAACATACAAAGATTTAAAAACCGAATGTACGCAACGCCTAAAGAAGAAGGGACATCCAGGCCACCAAGACAACCCTCTAGAACAGTGAATGGAAGAGTGTCCTATGCTCAGATGTTCAAAGGAGACACTGTAAACACTCAATCTCAGGCCCTGCCACAAGAATCTAAACCTCATGAATTCACACATCAACCTCAAGACCCATATCCCTCCATCCCTGAACGTAGGTTAAATAACCATACATTCATTCTTCCTCCTTCCAATTCCACTGACCTCACAAGCCTACTGACATCTTTCTTTTCCGAATTTAGATCTCTCATTACCCCTCTTATTTCGCTACTTACCAATGTTATATCCAACCTCGTTCCACTGCCAAGAAATCCATAAATGTCCTCAACCAAATTCCTCTCCATTCTCCTTTGGAATGCGAATGGTATTCGGAACCAAATCAACGAACTGACGATCTTATTACATGACAAAAACACCGACATAGCACTAATAACTGAAACTCGACTAACCAACAAACGACAAATCAACGTACCCGGCTACAATATTTATCGAACCGACCATCCTGATGGAACAGCACATGGTGGCACTGCCATAATTATCCATCGATCCGTTTACCATCATTTGCTTTCCTTACCAAGCCATAATTTCCTACAATCCACAGCCGTAATAATCCAAACACCCCTTTACCCAATAACACTAGTTGCGGCATATTCCCCGCCTAAAACACCCATTTCCGAATCCCAAATAATTTCCTTCCTGAATTCCTTAGGACACCACTTCCTCCTAGGTGCAGATCTAAATGCAAAACACCAGCAATGGGGAGCAAGATTCACAAATTCCCGAGGGCGAACATTGCTATCTGCACTTAATTCTCATCGCAGCAACATCCTTTCACCTAATACATCCACATAGTGGCTAACAGATCCCAACTGCAATCCCGGCCTTCTAGATTTTTTCCTCCACAAAGGTCTAGGATCACTACACTGTTCTATTTCAAGGTTTGATGATCTTTCCTCAGACCACAGTCCTCTGGTCCTAACCGTTTCCACATCTCCCATTCCCAAATCATCCCCACCTTCATTTATCAGGGGGCCAGTTAACTGGAACCTTTTCCGTCAAATACTGGAAGATAATATAGACCTCAGAGTTTTCTTAAAAACACCAGAAGACCTCAAGGATACAGTGCGTTCCTTCACTACCCTGATCCAGCAAGCAGCTTGGACTGCATCGTCACCTGATCGTCCCAAAAAACACCATAACATAAGTCCTTTATCTCAAGACCTACTGGACCTAAGTCATAGCAAACGTTGCTCTAGGAACCTTTGGCAAAGAACTAGGCATCCTGATGACCGGAAATCGTATAATTATTATTCCAAACAGGTAAAAAAGAAACTGGATACCTTTAGAACCCAATCCTACAATTCCTACCTCTCCTCATTATCCGCTAGTGATAACTCCCTCTAGAATGTAACCAAAAAAGATCACTTCGCCGTGATGATGGTTCCTGGGCTTCGTCAGATTTGAATAGAGCAGAAGAGTTTGCTAAACATCTATCCTACACATTCACCCCTCATCCCGAACTCCATCCCACCCACACTGCTGAAGTTGAAGAATTAGTCTCTTCACCAATTCCTCTCTCTCTACCTCCGAAACCTGTTAACCCCTCTGAGGTCAAATTCCTTATAAACAAATTAAAACCCCGAAAATCCCTTGGATATGATCTCCTCATTTCACAAATCCTCAGACAACTTCCCAAAAAAGCAATCATATTCCTTACCTATCTATACAACTGCATCCTTCGTACAACCAACTTTCCTTTGGTGTGGAAACATTCCACAATCATCCTGTTTCCAAAACCAGGTAAACCTGTTAATAACACATCATCCTATAGACCGATAAGCTTACTCCCGATCCTCTCAAAAACCTTTGAGAAAATCCTTCTCAAACGCATTCTACCCATAATCGAATCCCACAACATCCCTTCTCATCAGTTTGGATTCCGCTCAAGACATTCCACTGTCCAACAAGGCCTTCGTAGTGGACCATACATCCTCTGCACTTGAAAACAAGCATTATTGCACTGGTGCCTTTCTGGACGTAGCGCATGCTTTCGACCGGGTGTGGCACGATGGCTTGCTTTTCAAGCTCAAAACCCATTTACCCCAATCCTTATACCTAGTCCTCAAATCCTACCGGAAACGGAAATAGACGTTTTGAGGTACCCTGAGTCGAAATGACCAAGTCCCGAAAAATGGTCTGTGATTCTGTGTGTTTGTATGTTAGTAGTCTAGCTCAAAAACGAAAAGTCCTACGAAACTGATATTACGTATTTAAGATATGTATATGCCTTAGATGTGACGGCAACTTTTTCCTTAAAATCGGCTAACCGGAAGTGCCACTTTATATCAACGCTAAAACACAATTTTCTCAAAAACGGCTCTAACGATTTTGATTAAACTCGGTGTATCATTGTATAATTGAGCGGTCTTTAATATCAATTAGGTTTTATCCCCATTGATGTCACTTTACAGGGCTTAAATGCCCAATGTTCATATACGTCTTCCTCTAAAGTACCTTCAATATGGTTTATTTAAAAAAGTTAATCATTTCACATTATTTAAAGTAATGAAAAACAGCTAAATATAACTTTTGAAAGAATTTGATAAGGTAATGAAGGAGAAAAAAAAATGCAGAAAAACCTGCGTTGCTATAAACTGTAGCTCCTAAACGAATGTACCGATTTCAATGAAACTTCGCTAAAGTCATTTTCCGACACCCTTTAAATTTATCTGTATAACATACTTCAACGAAAAGAAGCTGGAAAAAAAAGTTTCGAGGGATGGTAAAATTTAATTCCGAATAATTTTGTTACACCAACGAATTTGTCCCAAAGAACGCATCCGGTCATACTATATGAAATTGTTCATAAATATTAATAATATGTGTTTGAATCAGTTGTGTGTATTTATATGTAAATATTAATGAGGATAATTAATTTTAGCCTATTGATGAAATAACAGTACTAGAGTCATAATGAAGGAATAAAAATTCAAAAATTATTCATTATATAATCAGGAAGAGATAACGGTCCTGTACATTTTCTCCTCTGTTTCTCTACCAATTTCCTTTATTTTTCTTTTTTTTTAGTAGCCAGTGCCGTCCAAGTCCAGAGGCCGCAAATGTATAAGGCCGGCACTGGCAATTGATTTTGAGTGTCGGTCATAACAAGGAATACTCTAATAATATTTTGATTTCTTGTTCTATTACTAATCATAAATTATGATTAATAAAAGGATTGTTATTATTTCTTTTAAAAGGTATAGCGTGGTTTTATGGCATGGTACACTGTACTCCAAGAACATGCTGTTGTTTCAACACCCACTGTTGTGAAAATAATCTAATGTGCTGTAACCGAAACGGAAAAAGGTGAGTTCTAACTAAAATGTAGTCAATAATAATTTGGATACAATAACTAAAACTTTGTTTTTGTAGGAAGGTAAGAACGACCCCTTGTTAAAAGACAGACGACTTCAAAAGGAATTTGATTAAAACAACATTAAGTCATGAATTTTCCGATCCATAAATTTAATTTTAATAAAAAAGAAAAAGTATCGTTTTTATTAATTTTTTAACAATAAATTACTGACACAAATGGGATCCTGGAATGAAATGGACAGAGATATTTGTGAGGATACTTTTTTATTGTGATTTTATTAATAAGTTTGGTTTGACAATTGAGATAATTTGTAAATGTATCATGATGAAATAAATATTTTAAAAAATGATAAAACATTAATGTTTTGCTATTAATTTACTACTGCTATTAATATTACCAAATGATTGCTATTCAGACCAATTCTGAGATCCCGGACTCTTGTACGGATCTTTTGAACCATATTAGTTCCAATGTAGCTTCACTAACTGCAACTACTTCAGCCTCTATAGTCGATATTGGAACAGATGTTTGTCGCTGACTCAGCCACTAGATGGCACCTGTAGCGTACAAGCATATTTTTTCTGAGGTGGAAATTCAAACGACTTTACCTCTTTCCAAGTCTGCGTCGCTATATCTTTCCAGAGCTCCCATTTTAATCAGGTCGGTAAATTATTCCCATCCCCCTTTACCCAATCTTCAGTTCCTGACTTTAGATTCTCTATAGTTCTCAAATCAAAATGTTTATCATAAATTTTGAATTAACATCAACTTTTGTTTGATAACATAATAAATTAGAATTCGTTCATAGAACAAAAAAAAAAAAAAAAAAAAAAAAAAAAATGGACCATACCTTATTCCACAATATTTTTGAAAATTGTCCATTTGGTCAGTAAAATTCTTCCTTTTTCATGCTCAAAATGGACAATTAAAAATCACTCCCACCCAAATATATACAAAATAATACGTAATATTAGATGTCAGTCTCAAATCGTTTTACATCAGTTTTACTTATATTATTAAAAAATAAATTAAACTGTGCTCATAATTGGCCTTGCTTCCTAAAACTGAATATCTTTTTCCCCTCCTAACAGAGTAATTATCCTAGAAAAGAAACGTTTTCTCCAAAGTGGAAATCTACTAAAAAGAAAAAAAAACCTGTACCACTACAACCAATGAAGGGTCTTGGGTTCAGTACTATTTAGGAAAAACACTGTTTCACTGTTGTGCTAGGAGGTAATTTGACCGAGATCACGCTCAACCCTTTTCCCTCTTAACCTTATTATTTACTTAACAGTACCTACTTTATAGAGACTGGGTGTGCTCCAGGAGATCTCCCGACCCAGGGTCGTCCCACTGCCAATGAAACAGATAAATAAATTTTCTGCCATAAGCCCGGGTTCGAACCTGGGACATTTAGCATTGGAAGCTCAGTACCCTACCACTGAGCTACCCCACTCCCGGAAACCCTACTAATAATATAACATTTTATATTAATAAAATAAAGTAAAATAATTATAACTTAAATATTTTTTTTTGTCTATCAAAAATATATTTACGCCTGCCAACTTATTGTTGACAATCAGCAAATGTGATAGTGATGCATGATATAATGACTTGACAGGCATGGGGAAGGAAAGTACTCAGCAGTACCTCTTCCCTAACTTGTTCCAATTACTTAGGTTGTCTAAGGAAGGAGATCCCTCATCCAACGCCTTTTTAGTCTCCTCCTCATGTTCTGAGGTATGTCATCTGTGGCCATGTCTCTTATAAGTCTGTTATTATGTCCATTTAAATTTGTGTAAAATTGTTGATAAAGGGACATTATATGTTGGTCATCTGTTGAAAAGTGGAGGTCAGTATATAGAGTTTTGTTAGTCACGTAGCAAGGGGCTTTTGTTATGAGACGCAATTTTGATTGGAACGTTTGAAGTTTTTGTAGGTGGGTATTTTTAGCGATACCATATATTTGTGATAAATACGTCCATATGGGTTTAAGTAAGTATGTATATGTATTCAGTTTCTGTTTTAGTTTTAGTTTTGAAGATTTAGAAAAAATAAAGTAAAGTACTTTGAGTCGTTTGTTAAGTGTATTACGTTTTATTTTAATATGCAGACCCCGTGTCATCCTTCTGTCTAAGGTGAGTCCAAGGTAAAGTACCGTGTCCGTTTGAGAAATTTGATTGTTGTCAATGTAAACAGGAGGGCAGGTGTTTTTTCGAAGATTAAATGTTGTATGTTTGGATTTGCTATGATTAAGTCGAATTTTCCGTAGTGTGAACCAATCTTTTAATTTAAGTAAGTGATGTTGTAGAGTTAGTGAGGCCTGTGTAGGATCTTGATGTTTCGTGAGAATTGTTGTATCGTCTGCATAAGTAGGCGTCAAGATGTCACCGTTAATAGGTTTATCGTAAGTGTATATAACGTAAAGTACAGGGGCTAGTATTGAACCTTGGGGAACTCCTGCCAAGATTGGACGAACTGAAGACATTTCCGAGCCCTGCCGAACTGAAAAAAATCTGTCGAAGAGGAAATTGAAGGAATAGAATAGAATAGAAAATTAAACTTTATTCTGGGACTAAGCCCCTTTAGAATAACAATGATGAGTTAATACAAAGTAAAGTACAAATCTGGCCAAAATCTAACTTATAAAAATTTTAATATTATATACATTATTTAAAAAGTATGTAACCAGTAAAAAATAAAAAATAAAAAATATATATACAAATGAACATAAAATCTTCTCAAAATTACTTAATTGTGATGAAAAAAAAAAGAAGAGAAATTACATATTTATATATACATAACTACACAATTTATAAACAATAGGCTATCTAATAGAAAACTAACTTAATACAAAATATAGTAATATCTATAGTGGTTTATATAATAATATGCAGACACTAAGATAAAATAAAATCTTAGGATACTTGTGGTGTAATGGGAAAAAAAAAAAAAATAATAAAAAAATAAATAAAAGGAACTATTTATACGTACATTCTCATATTGGCACACATAAAGACAAAAATATAAAATATAATCATATATACCCGAAAGAAAAAGCACAACCTGAGGAGAAGAGAAAAATTCATAAATAGTAAAAATAATAGTCTCAAACTAGGTGACAAAAATCATTGCTCTTTTATGTTAAAACTTAAACACTAGGCACCACTATTTACTTCACCCAAATTCAGTTCATAAAATGAAATTTATGGTGGCAAATCTTCTGTTTGGGATGTAAGGAGATATTGGAAAAGGAGGTGTTTAGGGAACACATCAAAATTCATATTTAAATTTAATTTGAATTAAATCAAGAAACCACATCACAGCTGTTATCTCGAACATACTGCATATATACCTCAGTTCTTCTTGTGACGCAGCCATTGTTGAAGCGTAGACGCTCACTTACCGTGAGAGATTGACAAGACTGGCCAGTTAGAAAATTCATTATTCCACTGATTTGATGAAAATGGGGTAAAAACCTACAGGGGCCGTCAAAGGGCCAAGAAAGGAAGAGAGGGAAGATGAACAAGAAGACTGGCAACTACAAGAAAAGAAAAAATGCAAGTATCCCAACCCAGCTATATTTAACCTCCGTATAAAACTACATGCAATAAAATATAGCAATCAATTTTAAATATTCACTTCTTTAATCCATTAACTCCTCTAATTTTACAATCCACAGCAATAAATTATCACCAGCTCTTAAAGCAGAATTATTACGACAATATCCCTGACAGCCTTGGAAGGGATTGGCATAGTAACTTATATAACTTATGTAAATATTTGGTCCTCCGGGCTCTGATATTATTGAAATCTTTAATAATAAATTAAACATATGGTCCACCGGGCCCCGAAATCATTAAAATCTTTAATGATTAAATCATAAAAAAATTTCTTATGTCATTCAGGTTAAGCGTAGTATATTGGCACTCATATTTATATTTGTTCTCATTTTAGTTTTGTAATTACCTTGTTATATTATTTATCAAATCAAATTTAGGAATTAATTAATTAATTTCTGTTCATTGGCCTATTTCTTTTTCTGATATTTGAATTAGGTTTTGATGCATAGTGAATCCATATTAGTTATGAATTATCATTTTTGTAGCCCTCTTTAAAACAACCACTATCTTAATTGAGAAACATTTATTTACCAGGCATTTAATAAATTTTTTTTTTGTATTCATAAATATTTATTGATTTATCTATTGAATTAAATTACTAGTTTGTATATTATCAGAAATTATTTAGCACTTATTGTGTTTAATAGTAATCATAATCGTTCAATGTTAATATCTAACGTCCAGCCATTAAGTTAAGCATTCATTATTGATTCATTCACTAAATAAAGAGGTAGCAGTCTTTTAATTTCTCTTTGTTATAGCAATTTCTATTGGATGAAAACATCACGCACTCATTTGATGTTTATTCTTATATATACACACATATTTTATAACTTAGCATTCTATATCAAATTAAAAGCAATAAATTTGATTATAAATATATATGTATGGTTTATAATTAGACACCTCATTTTTTATTCATTCAATTTTTTATTACTTAAATTGCGATTTTTTTCTCACAGCAGTTTCTGCATGGTCTCTTTAGTACATTCATGCCTGGTTTGTTTTGTTTATGGATGTCTCTCTATTCTCTTTATTACATTGCAGTCTTCTTTGTGTTCATCGATTCTCTCTTCCTTGTATCCCCTTGCTTCGTCGTTTTTTCTTATGAAAACGCCACCAGTTACCACTGATTACAACACTCAAATCACTACCCTCGAGCTACAGCTCAGAGGTTTACACTGAAACATCGTGGGATGTTCAGATTATGGCTCGGGAGCACTTTCGGATCTTGAGAAAGCTCCATTATTTGAAGCTCAACTAGATGCTGCAAATTCCGATTGGGCGCTGTTTATGGAAAAATGGGAGCAATGTGACACCTTTCACGCTCTTTCGGGAGAAGATTTCCCGAGTGCACGTATGCAGGAGATTTACGATGCTTGTAGGCGTGAAGTAATACAAGCAAAATCTATTATGCTCCAGATAAATCGGAATCTAGCAGCGGAATTGAATCCAGCAGTTCAGAATCCTGTAAATCGTTCTATGGAACCAGCCACGAGCAGGACAATTGGCGCTAAGGCCTATTTACCGCAGATACCCATAACAAGTTTCTCTGGTGAGATAAAGAATTGGACCACCAACACCGAAAAATTCCATTACCTACTTGGGGCACTAAAGGGTGAAGCCGCAGCTTTGGTTTCAAATATTCCAATAGAAGATAGGTCATATGTCCTAGCTTGGGATAAATTGATGCAAACGTATAACAATCCTAGGATACTGGCGACATATTTTCTTC